AGAGAAGGAAGAAGAAGATTCGAATTATCTTCCCTTTCTCCTCTAATCCTTTTTTTTATTAAGCATTAATGTTGGAGTAATGACAAGTATGCCCTTAAGTGGGCGGCCAGCTAGGCAGTAACATAAAGAGATTAAACAAAAAGAAATAACAGGCCCATTAGCCAACAAAAAAAGAAAAGATATTACAAGAGGAGATACTAGGACCCATTCAGCCCAGTCTCTTTATAGATGGGAGCTCCATTGGAAACCCAGGACTATCAGGCATAAGAGGAGTAATCAGAAATTCTGAAAGGAGGATATTGACCATGTTCTCATGACCAATTGGAACAGGGAATTCATTGAAGGCTGAACTCTTGGCATTACTACAAGGTCTGAAGCTAGCTAAACAGATGGGATACATGCATATTGAAGCGGAAGGGGACTCAAAAGTGGTCATTTCCTGGGCTACAAACAGCAGCCATACCCCGTGGACGTATAACATGTGATTAGGGAAGTGAAAAATATTGCAAAGGAGGTTGAGGCTGAATTCAAATGGGTTCGAAGGAGTGCAAACGGGCTAGCTGATTATCTAGCAAAACAAGGGGCATTGAGACAGCAATTATTTTGGGCTGCACTGTAATGAGGGACAGAAAAGAGGGTTCAAATGGGATCACCATTCCCATCACCAAGTTGTATAAACTATTTCTAATCTGAAATTTAAATAAAATTCATGCTTACTGATCATATATATATATATGGGAAAATCTATGATACGAGAAAGAAATGTTATGGAAAGAGTTTTGACCAATCAAAGCCCACCCATGAATTTTGATAAATGATACCTGATTCGCTACCGCGTTTATGATTCCAATTTATTGGCCAATTGTTTTTCCGAAATCATATCTTTCCCATATCATAGTCGAACCCATATAATATATATATATAGATAGATAGATAGATAGAGAGAGAGAGAGGTTGTGGCATGAGGTGATAGGAAGCATCCATGGTCGCTCAAAGGTTGGGTGGGATGCTGGTGTATCTCGGTGGGCAACCTTGGAAACTCCTTGGAAGGCTATTCAAAGTATTTTCCCTCAGTTTCTCAACTTTGCCAGGTATGATGTATGTGTTGGAAACAAAATTCTTTTTGGGGAGGACCTTTGGGTTGGTAACTTACCTTTGAAGGACCCTTCCCTTCCTTGTTTTCTGTCTCTCAATACAAAAGAAAAGTTATTTCAAATTTCTACTCCACTTTGGAAAACCCCTTGGCACCAAACTGGGATTTTGGTTTTCATAGAGGTTTAAGGGATGAGGAAATTTGAGTGTCTTACTAGGCTTTTGAGTCTTCTTGCAAAAGTTTATTTAGATCCCTCTGAACCAGATAAGCAGTTTTGGTCACCACAACTTAAAGGGTCCTTTTCTTGTGTTTCTTTCTTCAGGTCTCTATGTCAGTCTCCTCTCAATAGTCTTTTCTTGTCAAGGAAGTTTGGTGCAGGCCTATTCCCCCCTAAGGTTTTGGCATTTTGCTGGGAAGTGTTCCATGGGAAAATAAACACCTCGGATAATTTACAAAAGAGAAGATCATTCCTTTGTCTCTCTCCTAACCAGTGCATCCTTTGCAGGTCCCATGGTGAAGACTGCTACCATTTACTAATTTCTTGTTCTTTCACTGCAAAGTTGTGGGGTTGGCTCTTTTCAATGTTTGGGTGCAAGTGGAACAGACCAGCTGAAGTAAGCTTGCTTTTTGATCCCTCTACTTTTGCCTAGCACCAAAGAAGAGGGAGATTAATGTGGAGGTGTGCAAGAGCAGCGTTGATTTGGACTGTTTGGGAAGAGAGGAATGCTAGAGTGTTTCAAGAGAAGGAGAGAAATTTGCAAGAACTAAAGGAATGCATCTTGAACATGGCTATCTAGTGGTTGAAATCCTTGAAGCTGTTCCTTTATTTCGCCTTTAATGATTTTTGGAGAAATTGGGTTGCAGTGGCAAGTAGCTCTTCCCTAAAGGTAAAGGCTAGACTAAGTGTAAGCTGAGCACCTCCTCCTGTAGGTGCTTTGAAGCTGAATTTTGATGGAAGCAGTCAAGGCAATCCAAGTCCTACTAGATTGAGAGGGGTTATAAGGGATGAGGTCAGAAATGAGGTACCTCTTTACACGGGCCCCCTAGGTGTTGGGGATTCCACTAGGATAGAGTTGTTAGCTGCAATTCGAGGTGTATAATATGCTATTCAGTTAGGTGTTGAACAGTTGTTAATTGAAGAAGATCCCAAGGTGGTAGTAGGTTGGCTACAGAATCTAGATTCTGTAGTGTGTGTAGTGTTATAAAAATGAAACCAAGAAGTTCAAGTGGTTAACAAGGGGTCTGATTGTAAGAGTACAATGGGTTGGGAGATAAGCCAATATTATGGCTGACTGTCTAGCCAAGCAAGGGGTAGCCAGGGATCATTTGTTTTGGGCACAGTTGTAGTTTGATGTTGCCTTGGAGAGTACGCAACTCAACCTCTCCGAGTTTACTTGTATCAGTTTTCACTCTTTAAATTAAATTAATATAATGAATTACTTTATTTATCAAAAAAATAAAATCATTGAGAAGGTATTCACAGGGATAATGAGAGAATAATGGGGTCCATTATATCGAAGACAACTTTTGAGAGGCAGCCAGCACCCTTCTTCCTCTCTCTCAACAAATACTTGGTTCTTCCCAGTTCCCATACAAGGTTCCTGCCTTAGCTGTCCCTGCTACCCAATTCACTCCCTTTTTCTGCCTCCTCCACTTCATCCCATGCCTAGGTTCAGAACCCTCCAACACTCCAAACACCCAAATAGATTTTTACAGCTAAATTTGTTTATTTTTGTGAGGGTGGGCACAACAGTTGGGTTGCTCCATTGCAACCTGGGTGACCAGGGTTCAAATCTTGGAAACAGCCCGTGTATCTGCAAGGGTAAGGCTGCATACATCTGTCCCTCCCCAGACCCCCCCCCCTCCGGCATCGGCCAGAGCCTCGTGCATTCAGCTGCCCTTTTAATTTTGCTTCTGTTTGTAAATTAGGAGCTCCCCTTTTCCCTTTTTTTGGAAAGATAGAAAAGCTGAATTTCATTACTGATGGAAGTGAAATGTTCCCTCAAACAAAATACAAAAGGAAACCCCCCTGACTTTACAGTCCAGCAAAGGCTATACAAAAAGATACCACACATATACTGTTTACAGGAGAGTTGCCCCTTTCCTTTTCCCTTTTTTAATATTTTTACTCCTTTCTTTTGCAAAATAAATCACTCAAACGCCTGGATGAGTGCATTAGTGAACTTGTTAACCTGAACTCATCATTGACAAAGAGCAAGAAACTAACCTTCAAGAGTCCACAATCTTAAATGCTGGAAAAGAGTTATTTCCCTGAGACTAGAACAAACTACACTTTAACAAAAGTTACTATAAAGACCAAATAGAGTAACCAACCAAAATATGGAAAACAGAATCCTCTAAGTACCAAGCCAAGAGAACAAATACTGATTTTCAGATCTTAACATCTGTAGGAGCACATTAGAAACTGTAATTTATTCATAGATCACCATATCACATACTTAGACATGCATGTATGTACACTGGAAGCAACACAATGAAGAAAACCTAGACCTAGGTAGTGTTTAGAACATACAGGCAGAAACAGAGAGGGACAAGTCAAACAAGTCACTTATTACTGACCTCAAAGCGATCAATAAAAAAACCAAGCCATAACCTATGAGCAATTATTCCTTCAACGGGATCCTTATTAGGCTGTAGTACTGGCTCGCCAGGTACAAGGTGAGGCTTCAATTTTGCAGCAGGTCCAGAGTACCTCACTTCAGATGCAAACAAACCACGCTTTGTATCTATTGTCCATAACCAGGCATCAACAAGCTCTGCAAGGACAAGGGAACCCAATTGTGGAGCTGCAGAGACTAACCATGTCCAAACAAATATGCCAATCTCCATTGCATCAGGTGTAGAAATGTAAGCTGGACACCAGCAAAGAAGTCGTAAAAGCTGTGAGAAGCCCTCCAGATTTGACTTTGAATCAGAACCCTAACAAAATGTTACCAGATAGCATTTAGTATACAATAGAACACAGGTGAATAATAAGATTGTTCATGTAGAGAAACAATGCAAGTACAAACAAGACAACAGATAAATACAAGAATAGAAGTATGTTTACCAGATCTGAGAGAAGTAAAGCAGTAGCCTGGGAACAAGTTTCTCGAAATAATGTCTTATCCACCTCCAAACCTTTCTCAGCGGCATTAACAAATTGTTGAAGCTGCTGTACAAACTTTGAGAGAAGTATTCCATTAAAGGACTCGCTTTCAGGTTGTGATAGTTTAGGAGACTCTCCTGACTTTAACCTTTGAAGGCCAAGACCCAGACCAAAACCCATCGACAAGGTGCCAGTTTGAAAACCACCAATGCTGTCATACAACCTTCTCATGCCAGCAATTTCCCCAGCATGATTGCATTTAGCAGTTGCACTGACTATACCTATGGAGAGCACCTCCAAATTGAAAGCTTCAGTCAATTTTAAATTTGCCCCTGAAGCAGCAGCTGCAGCAGCCATAACTGCAGGGATGTTAGCTGTTCGTATGCCTGTCCAGCAATCATTCTTTCCGGTACCAATCCGCATCTCAGATAAAAGAGAAACCACATCAGGTGTATGCTCTGATCTCTGCCATGTATTTGCTTTACAAAGCTTTTCCTGGAAGAAATAATAGGAATGTAGTCAATCTCCGTAGAAAACCAATCAAATGCATACAAACAGAACTGAATCAGCATATGAATAGAAAAAGAATGTTGTGTCCTGCAATTACAACTCTGAAGTTTTTTGCAATGGAAGTTGAAAATGATTTGAATTGCCACCAAAAAGAAATGTGATTAGATTTGTTATATTTAGAGACTCAGTTGAAACAGGATAGATTTTAAAAGACTTAAAACAAAGGGAAAAAATAAGATGCATATATTATATCTATATCTATATATGGGAAACATAAGGGATAAAACAGGAATTTTTCTGATCAATAACAGTCAAGATATGTTTATTAATCTTGACATTATGGCCGGCCAGAAATAAGAGGAAGAGAAGAGAAGAAGAAGAGAGAAGAGAGAAGGGAAGAGAAGGAATTTGCAATGTAACAGTACTGGCGGCGCCAGCCTTTATTATAATATATATAGGGCGGCAGAAATAACAAGGGAAAAGACCCTTGTGCCCCTGAGTACAATAACAGACATAACAGAAGTGAAAAACGAAATTAAAAAAAAAAAAAAAAAACTTTAACTA